AGTGACGGCGATACGTCAACGCTCAGTCAGTTTTTAGACATTAGCGATAGTGATATGAATAGTTACGATAGTCACACAGTTAGTCTCCAGGGTAATAGCGACAGTGACTACGTGGAGCTGGTGAAATTAACATCAAAGGGTATTATGGGTATGTAACGGTAATCTCTGGCCATAGAGGGCACTTTCTATTCTCTTCCTATTGTGTCTATAGATTGTAGTACTGTATATTTGTTATGAGTATGTGGTGGTCATTATTGCCCACAGAGGGCGCTGTTTATAATTTTTTGCCCATAGAGGGCACTTTCTGTTGTCTTCACATTGTGGTGATGTCTATAGATTGTAGAACTGTATACTCGTATTTATTATGAGTGTGTGGTGGTCATTTCTTCCTATAGAGAGCACTTTTTATAATTTACCTTCCCATAGAGGGCGCTTTTGTTTATTAGTGTTTGAAACCGTTGTTCATGTTTTGTCAAGTGGTGTCGAAATTTATTTATAAATTGTAGTACTTTGTATGTAATATGTAATCAGTGCGCCCTCTACGTCAATATGATTCTCCACCGATGCACAAGTATTTGCTGTAATGCAACTATTTATGTTAATTCACTGGTGAGTCATTGACAAATAATCATACATTGATAGTGAACTTGAACATCTCACTATAGTTATAGAATTTGTAATTTTCAGATATAAGTGTAAATAACAAATAAAATCAGGGTTCACAACATTTTTGTTTGTTTCTCAAATCACTGACACATTGAAATACAATTTCCACTGTCTGACCAACCTCCCCAGCAGTCAATAAATACTGTAAAAGGATTAATTATTCACTGGGTTTTAATTTGCTCATTTCGCTGACTGGAAAATGTGCTAAATTAAAACTCAGTGAATATGTAAAATTATCTAAATGTTAAAACCGTGAATTTAAAACCCACTGAATATGCCTGAAATTGTAAATCAGTGAAATTTAAACCCAGTGAAAATTAATCATTTTACAGTAGACTAAATTTGATTTTGGGGGATTCTATTTTGACTTCAGGATACAAATTCAGTTCTGTTAGAGGGACCACTGTATATAATGCGTTCTTGGCCATTTCTGCCCATAGAGGGTGCTCTTGTATGGTAGTGTTTTGATGTCATTCTGTTCTCATCTATAGATTGTGGTACTGTGGATGTATTGTTAGTGTTTGTTAAAAGTATATTTCCAGTGAAATAATCTCATCAATTTGTGTAGTTGACTTACCCGAAAAATTATGGTATGATCCATAAAAGTACAGGGCTAAAAATAGGTACTCCTTAGAGATAGACTCATGTTATTATAGAGGGTCAGAAAATGTAATTTTTTGGTTTTGGGGGGTGGGAGAGGGTGGGTAATTGATTTTTATGAATTTATTTTGCTGATAATTTTGGAGTCGGATATTTTTTTTT